TTACAGCTCAGTTAATACTGCTTTTTCATGTTAAACTTTTCAAACAAACAAACAAACAAACATAATGCTTCAAATAGGCCTCACTGCATACAGAATATCCTATAAAACGGTCATGTTATGTTACATCTCAGTTAATGCTGTATTTTTATGTTAAATGTTAAAAAAAGCCCTTTATATAATGAAACACTGCAAGTGTAGCAAGTGTTAAAAGTATGGGAGAAAAGTCAAGGGGTGGGGTGTTCTTCAGACAGGCTATCTCTGAGCTTCGTGCAGTCACAAAGCGGTGGTTTTATGTCTTTTACAATCAGTAAATAGAACAAAATACTTGTTATAACTTTCACAAAGTGTCATTTGATGCAATCTCACCATTGGTTAAAACTTTAACAGCGTTTAAAAAGTTAGGAAAGAAGTCTGTGAAAAAAAACAAGCAAACTAAAGGGGTGACCCCTAGAGCCTTGCGAAGGCAGACTATAGTGCATGGAGCACTGGCTAGCCGAATTAGTTGTATCTGTTTTTAACATGTAGAGAAAGCCACAGCTCCCGTCTGTGATGTATCATTTTAATAAAATCTATGGACCCAAAACAAACACAGGAGCTTGTACCTGTGTCTCAGCACACGGTTTGCAAACATTTAAAAACAAAGACATTCTGATAAAGCAACAGAAAAATTCATACTTAAATCTAAAAGTCCTAAGGAAATGAAAGCTTACTATAACTTTCACATGGATTTGTTAAAAAGCGGGGAGGAAAATAAATCTCTCTCTGATCCACTGGATTACCGAATAAGGGGAATATAAACTAGCTGTTACTAAGGACGTGTGGTTTTCACTCTGGAGTGTTTCTCCATACTCATTTTTTTTATTGAAACACACCTGTAAAATAAATGAAGGGCTGTGTCTTCATAAAGGTTTGTCTTTTCAAGTGATTATAAAGCAGAGTTTTATTCCTTCACAAAACTGAATACAACTTTTACTTGCTTTTGTTAAAAAGTGGGGGAAGAAGCAGCCTTCTTATCTCCGATCCACTGACTCACAGACACTGTTTTTCCTAATGGCGGTTTTGCTGCAGCTTCAAATTCTCCTCATTTAAAAATGACCGATGTTAGTCTAAAACATAAGGGAAACCTTTTAAAAACTGTTTGTTACTAAGGCCTTATGGTTTTAACCATTATTAAAGACCCTATGAAAAAGTGCTACATTAGTGTTACCATACGTCCTCTTTTTCCTGGACATGTCCGGCTTTTCGGCAGTCAAACCCCCGTCCGGGGG